ATGCTAAAAGAAGGTGTTTTTGAGTGATTTGAATTATGCATGGTGCACCTTGGAGAAGAAGGAACTTCTTGGAGAAGTGTTGGTTGCATTGGAGCTTGTAGATTTGAACTTTGTTCACCTTGATCTATCTTCCAAAGGTATAAAGTTTAAATCTTAATGATGCATTTGTTAGATCAAGCTAGTTTAGGATGTTATGAGCTTTTGGTATTTTTAGTGCATAAAGTTTACATCTTGAAAGTTTGTGATATTGTTATGGATAAAGTTAGAAACTTTATCCATCTAAACATCATTTTGATTATGATCTGAAAGTTGGAGACTTGTACTTAATGGATTAAGTTAAAAAATATGAACTTTTGGGTCCCTTTGAGACTTAAAGACTTTAATGTTCGTTAGGACCATTCTAATGGATTTAAGCTATTATGAACTATAAAAATGTGATCTTGGCCCTTCTATCCCTTTCATGCAAGAGTTATGATGTATTCTTGGGTTAAGAACTTAGGGTTTTGGACATTAAGCACTTTATAGCCATGCAAAGTCATAAAGTTGGAAACTTTATGACTTAGGACATCATTTTGGGCTTGGATTTGAGTTTTAGATGTAAGAACTTAATGAAATAAGCTCTTAATGGAGTTTTGGGACTGGGTTGCATACGCTGGGGTTCTTGGTGGTACGATGTGTGACAACCCGAAACTTTTCCGTTATCCTTACTAACTTTCCATTAATCAAATTTGGATTCTTATCTGATTCTGTCAAATTTGATAGTTTGGGAAGGACTTTGCGTTTAAATAAATCTTTTCGAATTTATTTCCGTTCACGTTAGTATAATTTTTAGTCTAACGGAATATTCTAAACTCAGTTCGATCGACTTCCGTATTTGAAAACGAAGTTTTCTAAGTCGAAACATAGCATTCGGGCCAAACGACTCTTCAAAAGGAGTTTACGGCCGCAAACCCGATTTACGACCGTAAACTCTGTTTACGGCCGTAAACACTGTTTACGGCCGTAAACACTGTTTACGGCCGTAAACACTGTTTACGGCCGTAAACACTGTTTACGCCCGTAAACCCTCCCCCACCTCCTAACCGTAAACTCACCCCTATATAAGGGATGAGTGGCCTCCATTTCTCACTTTACACACTCCAGAAGACTTTCTCTCTCTACTCTCTCTCTACAAACTTCGATTTTTCTCAAAGATCCTCAAGAATGTAAGTGATTCTTCACCTTGATTATGTTTCTATCTCATTTCTAGTGGCAAATCCATGTTCTTAACTCATAAATCTCATCATTTTTCTAGATTTTCTCTCTCACCAAGAACACACACTAGTGTTTTTGGGACTCTAACCACCCTCTCAAGCTTCTATTTCGTAAGTACTCTACCCTTAGCTTGTTGGATACAAGAATCACTTGTTAACATCTAGAAATCGTGACCAGAAGGGTGTTTACGGTCAAGGCAATCTCCCTTGACCGTAAACTCTATTTAAGTGGCACAAAGTTGCCACAACACCCTCCTAAACATAGAAACTAAGCTTAGAACACTTCCAGAAGACTAGAAAGGGCCTTGAAACACCGAAAATCGCACTTCTCGTCGAAGTGTTTACGGCCGTAAACACTTGGACCGTAAACCCCTTTTACGACCGTAAACACCTGGACCGTAAACTCATGGACCGTAAACCCATGAACCGTAAACTCATGGACCGTTAACCCATGAACCGTAAACTCCTTTTTCGACCGTAAACTCCCCATTTTCAATCACATGTGATTCTAACACTTAGTTTTAAGTGTTTCCTAGTCCCTAAGGTGGTTTCCTTCCATAACGAATAGTGTTATACCCTCACCTAATGTATATATATGAACTTCTTCATGCTAAATAGGATCTGTTTGTGTCCAAGACTTTTATTGACACTCAAAAATTCCTAGCAACTTACTCTCGGATCCCACGTCAATCGGTGAGTTCATACCCCTATATTTTTCCAAAAGTTTCATGTTTTCAAGGGGGGGAATACAAGCAAAAAGTACAAGGAAACTTGTGCTCAAATATATTATTTTTTTAAAATAATTATATGTTCTGTATGCTTTTAACACAGAAAACCGTTTTACCACTCGATTAAGAAATCAACTCGTAGAAACAGTTTTCAAATCTAAAGCAAGGAACTTGTGAATCTTATCATAATATGTATTGTCTCATAAAGGATTCATGCAAATCATAAACAGGATTTTCGTACTATTACTTGTAAATTCGTTAAGCTAAGTTTGAGACATGTCCTTGGTAACACTCCCCCGGATTCGTGAGTGGAGGACTACGACTTATAACCCGAATATCTTGGAGGGAGAGCGTGACTATTGTGTATAGATCTGTACGGGACTGACTATCCCACACCCTCGCTGCTAGCTACAGCGGAACCGTTACGTTCAGGGGTGACAAAGTCTTAAAAAGATATTGGCCCCCGTTCGTGCCTTATCCAGTCAAAGTACGGTTATGGCACTCACAACTTAGGTAACGAGAATTTACTTTTCCAATATACTCCTCTGGGTGTAACCAGAGCTTTGAAAATACGGCTAATATACTCCTCTGGGTGTAACTAGAGCTTCGAAAATACGGCTAATATACTCCTCTGGGTGTAACCAGAGCTTCGAAAATACGGCTAATATACTCCTTTGGGTATAACCAGAGCTTCGGAAAGAAAATTGTTGTCCGAGTATGGTAGATACTCGTGTATGGATAATCAACTATCAACCTTTAAGAAAATATGGGATTTTCTGGAATAACTTAATCTTTCATAAATAGTCTGTTTAATGTGTAACTAATGGATAATCAAAAACTCTTTCATAAGAAAATATGGGATTTTTCTTGGGAAAACAACTATTCAAAGAATCAAGGAAACATTCCTTTCACCAAAATTAACTTCTTATGAACTCACCAGCTTTATGCTGATATTTTAAAACTGCTTGTATTCTCAGGGCATCAATAGGCAGGTACTTTTGCCAACTTTTGGAGAAGAAGGAACATCCTGAAGTCACATCTTTTACTTTTGCTATATATACTAACATGTATAAACCATGTTTTTAAACAATGTAAATATTCTTATTATAATGTAATGGTTGTGTTTACTATGCTTACTATGATACAACTGTTGTGATACTACGCATGACGTCCTCCGCCCCGGAACGTTTCCGCCTTCGGTTTCGGGGTGTGACACGATGCGTGCATGCGGTCAACGCCACGCTTTTGGTCAACATCAGAGTACGTTGGGCGTGCTCTCTTGATACACAGGGCGTACTCCATTGGGAAGAGATATTGACTTTTGGACCTTGATCATTTGACTTCGACTTTGACCAAGTTTTACCAAGTTGGACCTTGAGGGTATTTTTGGTATTTTGGGGAGTTTAATTGTGTTTGGTCATTTGGTTGGAGTAGGTGTTGGTTTGAGAGCTGGGATTTAGAGTCAGGACCTCATCAGCTTTTGTCCGATTTGCGAGGTGAGTTTTCCTTACTGTACCTTTGGGTCGAAGGCACCAAGGTCGGCCCTTTTGGATTGTTATCCTGGTTTATCGCATGATTGTCTGATGTAGTGATTCATTAGATCTGTATATTTTTCGTTTCTTATCTGTTTTCGATGTTCTTTATATCCACGTGAAGGTGAGAACTTACTCTACACATCTTTTAAATGATATCTTATTGACTTAATATGGGTCTTAATTTATTAAGTCACAAACTTGGCCCAAAAAATATAAAATACCAATTTTACCCTTTTGGCCAAAAATGTATCTTCTCATGCATTTTTTCTATATAACTTACTCATCTAACTTCTTCTTAGTGACTTAAACTTATCTTGGCCATTTTCATGAAGTTACAACTTGATATTCTCATCTTTTTTCCGTAAATGACCAAATTGCCCTTCTGGTCAATATTTAGCTGAAAGTCAACTTACTCAAAATTTCATGTCCTTATAATTAAGGGGTTAACATTTGGAACGGGCCGACTCTTGGACCGAACCGGTTTTGTAGAAATTGGTGGACCTTGGACCGAACCTGTTGAGGCTTACCAGGTCCATGTCTTGGTCTGGTTCCTAGTTCTTAGATGTAAAAGTGAGCATTTGGACTGAACCGAACCGAACCTACTCTTGGACCAGAATTGTTTTGCATAAATTGATGGACCTTAGATCAGACTTGTTGAGGTTTACCCGGTCAAGGTTTAGGTCTGGTTCTCGGTCTAGATGTTCAAATGCTCACCCTTACCAGGACTTGCATAAGCGATGTCACAACTCAACTAATAGGCATGACACAAGCTTATTAACATCAAAAATACTTGTTCGAAATCATTTGAAAACAATGATTACATATATATCAAGCATTTACACATGGTGACTATTTTTCACTATTTATTTCGTTTAACCTTACGTATGACACTAATTATTCATATACAAAACATATATTACACAATAACCACTTTAAATTTAATATTTTATGTTTATAAATAAAAATAGTTAAATATAAGGTAATTATTTCAAAGCACATGTATAATATTCAAGACGAAGCTCCCTAAGCTCCCTAAGCTCCGTGCTCATAAAACAAAACAAGAGTAAAACGTTTACTTGTCCATGAACCTTAAAATATTGTAAAAATATCATCGTACGGTAACAACTATTGTAGGGTCAGGATTCCACAAGAGTTTTTGACATCCCTAAATCTGACCGATAATTAAACACTTTCGACTCATTAATTTTGTTACATTAAATACATCGGACACCTTATATAAAATATATAAATCGGGGGATGGATAATAGATGGCTTTAAACAAATACATTTTGGTAAAATAAAAGCGACTTGGAGAAATCCTGCAAATGAAGTTTAAATTTGGGGACTATATCTGCAAAATGGAACATAATGAGATAGCTCGGGTCACTCGATTGCCTAGTCATCAATCCGTATGATACCTTCTCACCCAATAGGAATCAAGATGGCGTCGCTATATAAATCAAATCAATCGGATCTAAATTCCACCACCGACAGCTTGTCAATTTTAACCTAGTATCTTATCGTCTCTAGCAAATTCTTCTGTTTCACAAGATGGCGCCAACAAAGGGTGACAAGAAGACGGCCGAGAAGAAGCCATCGACAGCAGACAAGAAGCCATTGAAGGCCGAGAAGAAGCTTCCTAAAGAAGGCGTTTCAAGTGCCGGAATAGAGAAAAAGAAGAAAAAGAGCAAGAAGAGCGTCGAGACATACAAGATCTACCTTTTCAAGGTTTTGAAACAAGTTCATCCTGATATCGGCATCTCTGGAAAAGCCATGGGGATCATGAATAGTTTTATCAGCGACATCTTCGAGAAGCTCGCTCAGGAATCGTCTCGTCTCGCTCGTTACAATAAAAAACCGACAATCACTTCTCGTGAGATTCAGACTGCTGTTAGGCTAGTGTTGCCTGGTGAGTTGTCGAAACACGCGGTTTCTGAGGGTACTAAAGCTGTTACTAAATTCACCAGTTCCTAGATCTGATGTTAGAAATATAGAGATTTTTTTTTGTGTGTGATTGGATCAATGATATTCTTCAAGAAATCTAGGGTTTCTTGAATTTTCCATGTTTGTATTCATATGAGTTTGATAATCGATACTCTTTACTCAAATCAAGATCATTACGTTACGTATGATTTCTTTGAACTAGATTGCCTTTTGTTGTCATTAGAGGCAACTGCTGATTGAATTAGGTCCATATGAGTTTGATAATCGATACTCTTTACTCAAATCGATAGAGCTGCGTCATATTATTTTACTCAACTGACAAATGAATCCTTATATTCATATATGGTTTATCTCAACGTCTTTGTCTTTTTTGGAGCATGAAGAGTGCATCCAGTTATATTCATGATCCCCAATTCGTTACAATTAATTTCAGTTATTGGTTGATGTTGAAGGACGTTTGGTCTTAAAACACCTTTATGTATGTTGCAGGTAAATTAATAAATCTTCATTGGTATTACCTGTCTCATCAGACCAAAATAAATTCTCAATCTCCTGAAAAATATATTGGCAAGTCTGCAACATTTTCTTCTCCTGATGACAACGTTATATCTGTTGATCCATCAGGCTGCAGTTCCATATCTTTCCCTGTAAGCATTCAGTATTCAGCGCAACTATATTTTTTGTTATATGTATCAGTCATTCAGTTGTACCTTGTAAGTCTGATTTTTGTCGTGCTTTGTATTGTGTTTTGTATACAAGACCCATTTGAAGGCTATATCTGCCATGAAAGGTAGCCGTAAGAAACGGGGAGTGGTTCCAGAAGTGAAGTTGAGAGTCAAATGGGCTCCAGATGTATATGATCCGGTTCCGAGAAAGGACAAGCCTTTAAGGCGTATAAGAAAGAAGAATTCAAAGGGTGTTTGGCAAAACTTATTTAGAAAGAGTTATGACTTTTTGACTTATAACTTATTTCGTGAAATAATGAGTTTTTAATAAGTAAATGGTAGGTTACTTATCACTATTTAACTTATTAGAGGTTACCAACATTTTATAAGTTGTTTTTTACCTAAACATTTTTTTTTGGCTTATACCGGTATCAAACAGGAGCAAATCCTCACAAGGAAGTAAACGTATCTCTAAGAACATCTTCAAATAGGGTTGCATAAAGGTTGTAAGTGGCTGAGGTGGAGTGGTATAGTTTTATTTATTTATTTATTTATTATTTATTTTTAATAATGAAGTAGAGTGATAGGTTTTGGAGTTCTATGATCATACAATGGTTGTAAGGATTTTTTTCCCGATAAATATATAAAGAATGAGATAGATCTAAGGTGAGGTGGAGTGGTATAATTTTTTTATGAATCAGAGAGATTTTAAGGCTCATCGGAGTGGATTTGGCATCCTCGGCAAACACCGGGCCGAGGTCTCAGCATGCTGAGCTCGGTTTGACATCTCGGTGATCTTTCACCGATGAGAGAGAAAGTTATTTTTTTGTTTACCCATTAACTTAAATTCTTTTTTTTTTTCAAAAAATACATTCTTTTCAGAAAAAAAAAACAATCAATTTAAAAAATATAACCTTTTTTTTGTCAAAATTTCAAATTTTAAATCCTCAGTCTCCAACTATAAATACCATTATCCTTATTCATTCTTCATCCCCTTCAAATCCTCTCAATTTAATTCTCCTAACTTTCTTATTTTTCATCTTCTTCAAAACCTCATTTGCTAATGGCTCATGTGGGTCGTTTTTGGTCCCCTGAAGAAGATATGTTATTGGCTTGTTCATGGTTTGACGTTATAGAAGACTCAATCCACGTTAACCTCCATACGATAACCTTTTTGGAGGAGAGTCACCGAAAAATACAAATGCGAAGCCCCGATCCCTCGAGGTAAAGAAGAAATCTACTCCAAATGGAGACACGCAAACGCACTTAAAACTCAGTTTAACAGTATGTTTCGTAGGGTAATGCATGAAGTTGGTAATGGTGAAAATGAAAATACTTTGCTATAAAATTCTCTTGAGGTTTGCCGTGTTGAAACTAACAAATATTTCCGATTTGTTGAGTTTTGGCAAATTGTGAGGCGGCCCCCAAATTTTGCTCAAATTTAAATTCATTGCCTTTTAATTTACGTTTTTTTTTCTAGCTTGTTATGTTTTTCAAGTTTAAGTGTGTATTAGTTTAATTTCAAATGTGTTTTTTTAAGTGTAAGTTTGTGATTGTGTTTGAAGTTAATGAAAATTTAGTTTTAAAAAAATAATATGTTTGAAATGTTTATTTTTTTCAATTAATTAATTTTAAAAAATATCATGGCAAGTGTGGCAACCCATGCCATGAAAATGGCAAAATTTTGAAGGAGTGTTGCAAAACTGATGTGACGCCTACGTGGACCGTGACAAGTGTGACACTATTCCCATCAGCCTAAGGAGGACCGTACAAAAATGGAATCACGACTAAGTGTAGTGGTGTTGACGGTGTCAGGGTCCACCTAGATTCCACTTAAGATCTTATCATTGGTGTCATCTTGAGAGAGAGAAGGAGAGGGAGAGGGAGAGGGAGAGGGAGAGGGGGAGAGAGAGAGAGAGAGAGAGAGTTCTACCCCCTGTTCCAATCTTACACACACACACACTCATATAATGCTACCCAATGTCCAACTTAATTGAACTAAGCATCCCCTTTAGTTCTTAATGTATAAATACACGAGATTACAATATCCATAATGAGCCCCAACGCAAATTTTCTGCCTATGTAAGATCTTTACAATACAGAGTATAAACTAACATTATTACAATAGATTATACAATATACTTTTATCCACTTAATTGGATCTAGCATCCTTTATGCGTATTAGTTTAAACTAGACTATATTACAATCTTGTAATCAACTTCCATATTAGTTCTCTTTAGCTAACACTATCCTAATTTAGTGTACATATTTAACACAAAGTAATATATATTCAATATACATTAATCTTTCAGTGATATACTTTTATTAAGATTATGATGTAAAAATCTCAGATATACACCTTAACACATATAGAACCATATATGGTTCACATAGTGGTATGTCATCAAATTATTTAACACATACTCCAAATAATAAGCATTTAATTCACATATTAGCTTTCAAATATATTTAATATTGTTAATAAAGATATTAAAATCATGTTCATGAAAGTAACTATGCACTCACTTAATTGATGTGTAATACTCACGGGAAAATTAGCTTCTTGACTGAAACTTCTGATTTTCCTATTTGAATTACCTAAATACGAATATTACTAAGTTTCAGTATTCATTTGTATCTATAAAATCATATTAAACATTCCCTACATTCCTCAATAATCCCAATGAATACTTCAAGTTCTATATGATATTACGAAGCTTCAGTATTCATTTGTATCTATAAAATCATATTAAACATTCCCTACATTCCTCAATAATCCCAATGAATACTTCAAGTTTAATCTGATTAGGAATAACCATGTAAGATCATATCGGAGGTAGCATCCGTTTGGTATAAAAATATACTGTTTGTAAAATCCACTTAGAACATCTCACTAGTTATAGCCTAGACATCACTCCTGTAAGTAGATCAATCAATATTATAACTTGAATCACTGATAATATTATTTATAGGTTCATAATAACGACTATGATATAAATATAAGTTACACATAAGCATAGTAAGTGCAACTTAACTTACAAAGTTTTATGAAAAAAGTTCGGAAGTTCGCATGCAGAACTTCGATTCTGAAAATTTCTTTTTTGTCGGGCCCTCTGATGCTTCAGAGCTTGCTAAAGTAGTCGAAATCCTTAGAGGATTGGCTTAGAATATGATAATTTCTCCTAGAGGGAATGGAGAGTATTGAAGCCAATTGGTGTGAGGAATGACAAAGTTCAGTTGTTGTTTATTGGTTGTCCAGGTTCGTGTCACGTCGTGGTTTATAGCATGCCACATTGTGGTGTTGCGTAGGCATCAAACAACGATTCTGGTGCTGAGACGTGGCATCAGATACAGGTAAATCTTCGAATCTTCAAATTTATATCGCCCACATACGAGCTGTAACGACGTAAATTTTCAAACCAAATTTTTCATTTTCAAACACAACGAAACACAAGTCACATTTCTCAAAAATCTCAAGTATCAACATCAACACATTTTTCAAAATTGTTTATCACAATCCAGGATCCTCCAAAACATATCTCCAATGCAAGTGTGGTGTACAATCAATATAGGGCCTTCCCGCGATCCTCGGTAGTACCTGAAACACATAACACATAACACGGTAAGCACAAAGCTTAGTGAGTTACCCAAATACCCCACACTCATGTTACCCACTCGAGGCTAACTCAATACGACCCTTCGGTCAATGTATTCCAGTGGAGACCCTCCGATCCCACACTCGGGTGGACCTCCGGTCCTAACTCAGTAAGCTCATAATAATAATAATCTCAACATAAATCACAAAGACATAATGCAGAATATCATAATACACAGATAGCACATAAGACATCTCAGTCATACAAAGATACCACACATGGTAAGTATAAGTGAGAAGACTCACCTCGTAAGCAAGTAAAGGTCTCGTACTCGGAAATCTCGAACTAGCCTCCGCCTAACACATAGGATAATTATCTCTAATTAATACTCTACTCATGCTCAAATATATCAAGGGTTGTTCTAATCTCTCTCTCTAACTTTTGTATGCGTAAAAGACCATTTTAACCCCTCCATGGTCTCCACTATCCATATTTGACCAACCCTAAAGTCAACAAAATCAAACTCGAGTCAACAGTCCATGTTTGACTCGAATCGCCGAGTGCACCCATGTGACTTGTCGAGTCCACTTGTTTTCCTCAAGTCTCGTGAAGGTTCAACTCAGCTCGTCGATTTGACCCTCAACTCGTCGAGCTATCGCATGATCATGCTCATCGGGACAAACCCTAACCGACTCGTCGAGTCGGCTCATCGACTCGGTGAGCTCATTCGAACCTCTTTGTCATTCAGGCGATTTCAAGCAGAAAACCTTCCCAAACTCTAGATCTAAACTCTTAAGGCTTGTTTATCACGTAAAGCCACGAGATTTACGTCCATGCATGACACTTAGAGCTTGAAATGGCAATAACATGCTTTATTATGGGTTTTTCACTCAAGAGCTCTATTAGGCTGAATAAAGCAGGAACCTTTGGACTCTAGGGACCTCAATGGTCCAGATCTGAAGTCCAAACTTCTATATGAATCAAACACTCAAAGTCCTAAAGTTAGATGGAAAAAGCCCTAAACTCCCAAAATCATGAGATCTACTCAATAAATGAGAAGGTGCGAACTTTTACCATTCACAAAAGCTCTAGGATGAAATAACCACGGATCTAGCATCCCCTTCTCGTCCCTTGGCTTGGAAGTCCTTCCCTTCTCTTCCAAAGATGCACCAAACACTCAAGTTAGCTCAAATACTCTCTCTCTTACTCAATGGCCGAATAGGGGTTTCTCTCAGTGAAGATGGGCAGCTGATGAGCGCACATGAGCCGCTATGAGGATATGTCCTTAATAGGCCCCAAACCCGGAGATTTAGGGTTTCCATCACTCAGCGTCTACTCGGCAAGTTGACTCTCAAACTCGTCATAGGTTATTAATAATCCCACGTGGCCAAACACGACTCAACTCGACGAGTTGTACACACCAACTCGTCGAGTGGCTCAATAGATTTCCAAAATGAATAAATAATAATATACCTGTGAGTCCGATGTTACACGAGCTCTGTTTTCGACGTTCTTTATTTCTCGGATTCGTCTTGACGATACTACAACTTTCCTTTAGGTATCAACAACGAATTCTCATTTTTATACTTTATATTTTATAAATCTTAGAATGTTAAAACGCTTGCAAATTCATACGTCTTCATAGGAACTCTGTTCTCGACGTTTATATATACCGACAAATTCATATTTACAGGTAATTCGACTTTTCTTTACATGTTTTGGTTAAAAAGCAACCAATATCCATTTCACTTTTTACGACACACATTTTTGTGTAGGGTTGAACGCGCAAATTTCGAAAAAAATAACTTCCTCATACAAAATCAGATTCGAGCGTTAGTTATATCCACAAATCGTGGTCACGACTACTACAACTTTTGTTAAGATTATTGCGTAAATAATATTTT